CGGCGACGTGGCATAGCACGCTCTCCTCTACAAAGTGTCTTCTATATACCTGCCAAATATGAGCGACTTCATTTTCAAACATACTGCGCGCAACTCGGCCCCTAGCACGGCGCCCCACGAACTCTATCATCTGTGATTGGCCAAAAATATGCATCAACCACCAATCAAATCGCTTTGTCACCACTATTTTACAAAAACCACTAATAGTGTGTCATTGTAAATACTGTAGTAAATAGAGGGCTCTTCGTGTGGCACCGCATCGCACACTGCAACGTCTCTAGGCCGATGGAACATACTTGCCAAAGCATATTGAGAGAGATCACGTCCTTTGCTTCCGCGGCGATGACCAAATTGCACTCGAAATAATGCATTAAAGATTGTGCAATGCGGTGCCCGACGATACGGCGTTGATGTGTGCGCCCAAGCAGCAATCACGTCCCAAGCATGGGTTCCAGTCTGAGTCAACACGCAAAACCAACTGTGGCGGCCTCACTTGTCGCCGTTCGAGCTCTCGAACCAGGTGAAAACTTCAATAGTAAATAGGCGTTGATTTCGCCCCCCGAAAAAACAATGAAAAGTTTTCGCAAGCATTTCCTGCCGTTAACAGCGGCAACGCCTTGTACATAATGTCGTGTATCTTTATACAGGTAGGAGCTACCCTGATTTTGGCGCTTGTGTTTGTTTGTGTGCTCCAAGTGTCTCGTGGAGGTCAGCCGGGTCAATAACACTATTACATTATACTAAACAGATGGTTTTATATGCTGTTTATCTCCGTAGGTGCGGTGATTTTAGTCAATTGCCTCTTGATTCGGCGGCGATGGCAGCATCCCTCAGCGCGCCGTCCGCTCGCACTGGCGCGTCTACGGCCCACGCTCCTTGCGTGCGCTTATAGAGCGTCTTGGTCGATTTCGCCCACGGACTGCCCTCCTGGCCAAGGAAGGAGCCAGCGCCAAGGCGAAGCCTCGCTGTCACGGTACGTCTACCACGCACGAAAAGCGCATGCTCTTGTGCACCATGCTCTTTGATGAAGCGCAACGAGCAACGGCGCCATACGCAGCCGTTGCGCTGTGGGCGCTGGTACTGACGATCGTCGCGGTGGGCACTGTGCCATCGCCGCCGGCGGTGATGCCGCCTCATAGCCATCATCGCAGCAACTAGGTCTCGCGCATCCCGCGTAGGCAGGGTCGGCGAGCGAGCGCAGGAGCAAGCTACAGTATAGCACCCAATGACTATGTGACGGGATGTGCCTTCACCGGCCTCCACGTTCATGAAGAGCAACGTGGTCGAGATGCGGCCGGTCAGTGACCAGCGCGATCGATTCACTGCCGCCGTGCTCGGTGACACGAACGAACGAGTTGCGCTTTTTGGCAACTGCAATCAGCGCGTGTACAACGCTGCAGTGATACGTCCTCTCATTGCGATGACGTACGAGAGGTGGCCAACCGACTGCGGCAGCGGAACCCGACAAAGCTGCAGTGAACGATCGCAGCTACAGTAGAGTGTACTGGTACTAGTAGTTGTTTTGGTCATACCGCGTCTTGGTGTCAGGCGGCTCCGGATGCTTGGAGCGGTCTCCGACAACGACACCCGACGACCGAGGTTGAATGTTGAATGTTGAGCTGCAGGCCATGAGCCAATGAGGCTGCACAAGCCGCCAAACCTTGCAGAATACAAAAGTCGACTGCAAGCGGCGGAGGCTAGCGAGTTCTCGTGGTTGCGGCACTACCAAGACTGCGACACGCTCAGGTGATGATCCCCGACGTTCGACACGTGCCCTTCCTCCATAATGACGTGCAAAATACAGCGCTATAGAAGAGATTCTTGTGCTTCTCGACTTGGTCCGACTGCGATGTCGATTACGCGCATCCTGGGCCGCAGAAGCATTGCTTCGTGGCGCATTGGTAACCATTCGTTGGACCAAGCGACTTGCTCCTCGGTATTCGCGTGACGTCCTGGCGCCCATCATTCCGCTGTCTTTTCTGCGGAATGCAGGTCGTCGCAGATGCTTGGGTACCACAGGCGTTGCCATTGGTGGCATTTTCATTCTTTTTGACCAATCCGAACACGGCAACGATTGAATCACACGATCGCAACAGGGTGTTTTAAACAGCATGCGTTTTGTACAGGCGATGTTGCACTTGCGCCGAGGCAGGTGGTCAGCGGCGTTATCCACATCCGCGCGAACGTCGTCGGACTTCCGACACTCGACTCGACCGCGTCCGCAGCCTCGTGGACGTATCACTTGGATGCATGGTCAGTGCTCTGCGAGGGACGTCCGCGGCCTTCACTGCGAAAGGGCTTGGCCGACGCTATGTCATAGAGACACCGAGTCTGGTTGGCGTGACATGTTGCCGTAAACATTCCGTTTATGCCTGCGAGAATCCCGTTGCTTCCCTGGCGGCTTCCGAGCTGTCCTCGTGGCCTCTAGGTGAGACGCTATGTGAAGGCACTACACGTAGGACTGCCTACTCTTGTACAGGCGTCATTCCATCGATCATTACACAGCCACTTGCGCCACCTTTGCGTGCGACGCACTTCAAGGTGGGTTGAAAACACTCCGTCATGGGTAAGATACAGGTGTTTAAAACAATTTTCGGCGAGACAGGCCGAGCAGTGGTTGCGGCTTGGCCGCCGACTTCATTCTTGGGCCGCGCGCGTACTGCATACTACCCACTGAGCGATGGCGTCTCTCAAGCCGACCGTCAAGACGGCGCCGATCTTCCTGCAGAAGACCTTCCGCATGTTCCAGGAGGCGCCGTCCGACGTGGCCACGTGGAACCAAGATGGCACGACGATCCGCATCCATGTGCCCCACCAGTTTGCGACGTCGGTGCTGCCCAAGTACTTCAAGCACAACAACTTTCTCTCGTTTGTGCGGCAGCTCAACTTTTACGGCTTCCGCAAGTGCAAGGGCGACGCGGCCGAGGACGCCGAGTGGTGGGAGTTCCACCACGACAAGTTTTCGCGCGAGGCGCCGCATCTGATGCAGGAGATCCGCCGTAAATCGACGCCCGAGCCCGAGCACCCAAAGGAGATCCAGTCGCTCAAGACGCAGATCGCGGGCCTGCAGACGCAGTACGACAGCCTCACGCAGGTCATCTCGAACCTCACGGGCCAGATCAACCAGCTCGTCGCGATGGCTGCGCCGGCGACCAGCGCTTTGCCCAAGGAAGACGACGACATGAGCGTGGTCTCGTCGGACGACGAGCGCATGAGCATCGACTCGGACGTGGAAGACGCGTTCTGCAGCGACATGGCGATGCTCGAACTGTGCAGCTCGGACGAGCTCGCAACGATTCAAGACATGGTGTCGATCTTTGATTCGCCCAACGCGCACTCGTTCTTTGAAGGCTTTGACCAGCAGCACGTGGCGCTCAACTACTATTAACCTTATCTAACCTTATCTCCTTTGTACAGTGATTGCTAACCTTTTGGATATCACTGCGCGACGGACACTACAAGCCAAATGCAGTTGTCTATCTATTTGCTGCATAAAAGTTAGTGCTGCATGACCTGCTTGCCCGCGACGACGTCGCCGCTCGCCGCATACAGCGC